GGCGGTTCTTATCCGGTCAAGCTTTATAGTTTTCTTCTTCTCGGTTGTGACTTGTGCAGATCTCTCGGCCAGGAACTCTAGGAAGCATTGCGTATAGCCTATGATCAAAAGTAACGTTTTCGAGTTCCCTTGTTGATGTCTCTATCAAGCTTCATAATCCTCTAGGCGCAACCGGTCGTGAATTGAGACCTAATCATTGAAATCGTGTTTTTTACGGCTAAGAACAAGAGAATAACTCTTATGGCATTATCCTTACTGAAGGATAATGCCATAAGAGTTATTCTATTGTTCTTGGGCAAGCACTGTACTTAAGGATAATTTTGCCTCTTGAAGTACGAAACTCGATACGATAGGCTCTAGCGGCTATACTCCCAAAATACAACAAACCTTACTTCTTTATTCCGCACAGAATACCTAGCAAAGAAAGGAAATGTATATAATCAGAAATAAGAATATTCTATATCAATTTTCAATTATGTTCGGAGTAGCAATTAATAGGTAAAAGAAAGAGAGCCGTTACAACTCTATTGCAAATTTATAGCAGTCAAACCATTATAAAACCTTTATAAAACATTACAAAACCGTTATAGATTAATTGCGGACAAAAGCTGTTACAAGAACAATAACTTTCAATAATTCAAAACTTATTGAAATATATATAGGGATCACAACAGATAATCACAAATTTGTGAATGTGTGTTAAGAAAAAGATAGTGCTTATCTCTAGTGAGTTGACCAACCTTGACACCATCGAAATCTGACCAATCTGCTTTGACTTGGTGTCGACTTGGTTAAGGAAAAATTACCAAAAAAGTTCTAAACATATTGCAATTGTATTAATTCAGTATTAAACCTTTTTCTTTTGCCAATCGAGTCATAAACATTTTGCATATGTGCCAATTCAACCCATCTAGCCAATTTTGGCTAGTTGGCACTGATATGAACGCCAGTTGTCCTACGTGGCGTGACCGATGGCGCTGACGCCGCGGCGCTGACGCCGCGGGGCTGACGTGTTACAATTTTTAATAATATTTTAATATATATTTTTTCGAATTATTTATTTATTTTTCTTTTCTTTTCCTTTTTTTTTCTTTTCTTTCTTTTTAGTTTTTTTTTTCCCTCTTCCTCTGGTTGGTTGCCGAGGTTTGGAGATCGGCTTGAGGCTAGACCGGCGAGCTCGACCTCGCAGTCACTGGGCAAGGCTTGCCTTCGCTGTCGTGGGTGAGGTCAAGCCTCGTTGTTGCTAGGCGAGGTCGAGCTCGCCCAGCTTTGGCGAGGCTAGCACTCACTATTGCTAGAGAGGTCGAGCTCGCCCTCGCCGTCGTGGGTGAGGAGCCACGCCTAGCCATGGCAAGGATTGAATTGCCGTCGGTGGGTGAGGTCGAGCCTCACTAGCCCTAGCCTTTGGTCGGTCGCCAAGGTCCAACGATTAACCAGGAGAAGAAGGGACAAAAAAAAGAGAGAAAGAAAAGAAAAAATTAAAAAAATTAATAAAAATTCGAAAAAATATAAAATTGTTCACTTCAGTGTTGGCCGGCCAAAATTGGCTAGATGGACTGAATTGTCATAAATGTAAAATGTTTAGGACTGAATTGGCAAAAAAAAGGTTTAGGACTGAATCGGTATAATTGCAATAGATTTATTACTTTATTGTAATTTTCCCATCTCTCCGGCCTCTACCAAAATCTATTTCTATTCCAAATTTCTCTCAATTGATCACAATTCAAGTGTTCAAGAAGAAACAAACTCTACTTTGCCAATCACGGTGGAATTTCTCTCCTTCAAGTGTTTTTATATCCAAAACCAACAAAACCCACCTTCAGATTTTTAATCAAATTCAAACACCCAATCTCTTATTTGACTGAGTCATCCAAATCCAAAAGTCACCTTCTCCTCTTGAAAAATAATTCACGGCCACTTATTCAAACCATATTGTTAATCTCAATTCTTGCTTTTGACTTGTCCCTCTTTGACCAAATTCAAACCAGATTGTTGTTGGTCCTCATCTTCTCGCAGCTTCCTTCAATTTATGCTCTGCCCACTCATCAAATTCAAACTTCCATCATAATCCCACCGATCGCAGGTCCCCCTTTGACGTTTTTTATACGAAAGCCCACCGAAAATCCACTTGAATCTCCATCGGTCCTTATTTAACATTTTTTTCTAGATCTCTCCGATCATTATCTGCCTTTTCAATATCCTCCAATTTTCAATATCCAATCTCGGTCGGCTTCGTTCACTATCAATCAAATGCTTCCAGAAAATGTGTATGTGCAAAGAAAATGCAATATGGATTTTACCACGTAAATGATATTTTTTGTTTAAGAGTCGGGGGATGATGAAGAATTCAATATGGTAATTAAAATTTAGGTGTTAACAATATTAGAGAAGAACTTTAGTAATACAAATATCTTAAATATCATAAAAAATGAAACCAGTGCGAAGCATGTATACGAACACAAGCATTGACTACGCTGAATATACACTGGAGCTCACCAACGATGCGCATGATGAAACCATTGAAATGTGTTCCAAGTTTGAGTCCATGAAAACTCGTTGTCAAAGGAATTTAGGCGCAAACCTCTAATTTCTACGTCCCCTTTTACACGTTACTCAAGCAAATTCGACGCACAAAACGTATATCATTGGCCTATATAAGCAGCGATGGAGCTCTTCAGAAACCAAGCTTACTGCACATCGTAAGAAAAAACAAGAGGGTAACACCAAAAAAAGGAAAAAAAAGAAGAAGAGGGAAAATAAAGAAAAAGAAGGAGAAAGAGATGGCACCCAAGACTATTGCTTTGTCTCCTTCGATCGCGAGATTTTTGTGCATTTTCATGGTTCTGGTCCTTCATTTCAAAATCGTCTCAGCAGGCCGATGCCCGGGTGAAGAACTTTTTTTTTTTTGTCCTCTTCTGAATAATCTCTTTAATTTTTTTATAGCATTAATCTTTTTTAATGTATTTTTCGCGATTTACACTGGCGGATGTGCTGTTCTTCATTTGCTTTTCATAAAGGAAAGAGAAAAGCAAAATCTTAAATCATTTGCATTTTGCATGCAGATGCATTAAATCCAAGCAAACCGAAGCATTCCCCGGGATGTAGATGTATGTACTTTCATTACAGTCGATACACCCGATAATATGATATTTTAACAGGACTCCAAATTCGAAAAAGTATATCCAACTTGCTTATACTGACATATTTTCAGGCAAATCCCTCCTAATTTGAACTGTTCATTGGCGTTGCAGAAGGTGCTTACTCGCATAATAACGTGGTCGACTTCATGTATCTTGCTTCAGAAGAAAAAATGGAAGGCCCTCAAGTTTGATCTTAACTTTACATTTTTATGGAAAGGGATCGCAATATGTAATGATCTTGTTATGGTCCATTAGTCACCTAAAATATGGGCTCCAAGGTCCAAGATTCAATCAAATCTTGGTCCAGGTTCAGTTGGTGGGTTGCAAAACTTGCAATTAGACTGTCAGTGCCAGAAGAAAAAGTCGGCATTTCTTTCTTTGTGATTAGTCTCTGAAGCTTGTAATGATTACAACACTAGACTTGATAGATGAATCAATTATATTTCAATGGACACGGCTTTTATAGTTTAGAGAGAGATTCACAATTGATTATGAATGTAAAGTCATTCATATGATAGCACTTGTGAAACTTTACAATTGATTATGAAAAGGACTTATGAAAATGTACATTTCCGCCCACTCTCCTAGGGCTGGGAAGAATCGCATGGATCTATTGAAATCCCAGGCTTTTTGAAGACTCGTACTCGGCCACGGAAAAAAAAAGAAAAAAGGAAAAAAATTAATAAATAAGTTCAAAAACTTATTAAAATATTATTATAAATTGTCAATGCCAGTACCGGCCATACTATGCAAAACTACTGGCATCCACGTCAATGAATTTCGGCCAAAATTGGCCAAATAGACTCAATTAGCAAAATGCAAAAATATTTAGAACTTAATTAGCAAAATCAAAAGATTTATGACTGAATTATTGAAAGTGCAATAGGTTTATACTTTTTGGATAATTTTCCCAGACAAAGAGCAATCTGAATGGTAGGTATTGAGCGCATTTGTGGACCTTGAAGCACCTTCGGACCAAGTCTTGACGACCTTGAGTTGACCTAATGTTGGAAAAACCGTTGAAAAGATGAAAAAAAAACGAAATTCACTCTTTTCTTTCCATTTATTTAATGTGTTTTACATATAACGTTGATAATCATGTTCCCTCTATTTATTTTATGCGGAATAAAGAGGAAGATATGTTGTATAGTGATTTTCGCACCGAGTTTCGTACTCCGAGTAGGCGGAATTATCTTAATAGATAGCAAAATAGGACATATATAAAATTTATATACATTGTAAAGTGAACTTATATGAAAGATGATTCACTTTATGATAAATACCACAATATTATATATATCAATTTTTTGCGATATTTTTTTTCCAGTGATTTTATCTCTACATCAGATCGAGTGATTATTGTCACTATGACAACTCCAAAAATATCGTATTCCCATACAAGACGAATGCGCAATGTTAGAGAAGCAACTATAGTTAATACAAATATCTTAAACATTAGAAAAGATAAAACCAGTACGAAGCATGGGTGTGTACCATAGTGTAGACTAAACTGAACTTACACTAGAGCTATGACTACAATGTGAATGATGAATTAGAGGCCACACCATGTGGACCAAGTTTGAGTCCATTAAAAACTCGGACTACGAAACTAGACACCGGACAGCAACTTCTCATGAATTTCTTGAACAGTGGTCATAGATGGCAGCTGAAACTCCGGAAATACAAAGTGCATATCATTGTCAATTGGGAAAGTTCATAGGCGGCAGGACTTTTGGCACAGACCTCTAATTTCTCCGTCCCGCTTCACACGTTAATCAAGCAAACTCCATGCATCAAGCAGGTATCGTTTGCTTATATAAGCAGCGACGGAGCTCTTGAGAAACCAAGCCCACTGCACTGCACATCGCAGAAGAACGAGAGGGTACGTAGAAAAGGGGAAAAAAGAAAGGAGAGGGAAAAGAAATGGCACTCAAGACTATTGCTTCTTCTCCTTCGATGGCGATATTCTTGCGCAATCTCGTGGTTCTGGTCCTTCATTTCATAATCCTCGCTTCAGGCCCAGCACCCAACTGCGGGCGTGGTAACGACGTTTTTCTTTCGTTTTTTCCTTTATTTCCTCCTTGGAATAATCTCTGTCATTTTTATAGCTTTAATTGTTTCTCATGCATTTCTTGTGATTTACACTAGTGCACTGGTTTGCATTTTGCGCGCAGGTTTAGCGGAACCAGGCATACCGAAGCCTTCCCCTGGATGCAAATGTACGTACTTACGCTCCAGTTTATAACCCAATAATATGAGATCTTAACAGAATTCAAACTCCAAGCAACTCTATCCATTTTGCTTATATTGACGTAATCTCAGGCAAAATCGTGCTAATATGAACTGTTTATTGGTATTGCAGGAGGTACGTACTCGCATAATAAAGCGCTCGATTTCTTGTATCTTGCTACAGTAGAAATGTGAAGTCCCTATGTTTTGTGTAGTGGTCTACTTCTTGTATCTTGCTCCACAGGCAAGCGCTGCTGTGTCACATATGAATATCGTTCGCCTAAAAATGCGAGTGGGCAAGCATTGATGTAAGCTTTCAAAATTTTCTCCATATCAACAGTTTTGATTTTCAAAAACATTGCGATGACAGGGGGTCTAACGAGCTAAGTGATGGGATAAATTCCTATGGCGATGTTGTCGTGGAAGTTAAATGATCGAACAATAATACGACAGAATAAGAAAAAAAAATCGGATACCAAATTTACGTTGTTCGATCGTTGTAACCTACGTTCACAGGGAGAGCGGTAATGAATTCTACTATAGATCAAGTTATACAATGGAGATTACAACCACACTCGAGTCATTCAAACACTCTCAGTGTTTCCTAACCCTCAATTACACTTACTAACTCACGCAGTGTTTAACCTCACAATTCCTCATAAAATAATCTTTCTATCTCATGAAGGAATTGACACAAATTCTTATTAAAAGAATTTAATTGGCTACAACATATTCGGATATCTTCAAAGTGTAATTCATAAGCAGAAGCTCCTCTTTGATGATCTTCATAAGAAGTCACACTTCTTATATATAGACAAGAGCATGATCCAACATAGTAAACCTCTTTTTAGGAAACCTTCTACAACTAAGAAATCATTTAATTAGGAAACCTATTCAAAATAAGAAACCTACATGAATTATGAAACTTTTCTTTTTAGGCTCAAAATTGAGATATATTTTAATAGATATTATATTCCTCTATGGTCGTGACTAATTCACTTTTAATGAAAAAAAATGTGGATGTTGTTGGGTTCCAAAAGTGATTAAACCAACATGGAGTCAACGTGTAACCAGGATATGAGCTTTTCGATCTTACTCTCGACATAATCAAGGATTTGTCTAATCTAGTTTGCCCTACCATCCTGACAACGTTGTTCAGAGCGGAGATGTCGGATTGTGAGCGGCGTGTGAAATTTTGACTACGCACATTCACATGGAATTTTGACCACGCATATTCACGAAAGGGATAACACTAGCTCTAATACCATGTTAGATAGTCAAAAAATTAAACTAAATGCTTAGTTAGGTCAATGTGACCCTAAGTTGTCTATTTATAATAAAGCCAAAAGGCCAAAATTATAATATTATCCTTATTACCATGTTAGATAGTATAAGCATTTGATTGATTAGAGACTTGCAAAGAATAATTTTCAAGTGCAGGGAAGAAAAAGATAATGGACAAAGCACAAGCTAGTGTTAAAAAAGCAGATTAGTGCATGAACTTTGAGAGGTTGGACACTTATGGACTTTTTACTTTGCAGAGCGAAAGAGTCGAACCCCGCACCTATGATACTAGTATCCCCACCCCACATTCCCTTTACTAGTAGGGCCGCATGCCTACCGACGATGCCTATGGACTTCACAGGTCATGTCTTCCCATGAAATGAGCAGAGTTGAGTTGGCTTGATACTACTCGCAACTTGCAAATATGACCCACCGTCCAAAACGATGAGCGGTCTGAACAATAGGTATTGATCCCACTTCGTGGACCTTGAAGCACCTTCGGACCACGTCTTGACGACCTTAAGTGGCTGCCGAAGGAATTGCATTATCTTGCTTTAAGAAAATTTTTTGCACTTAAATAAAAATTAATTGCGAGATAAGATTTCCACAACCAAAAATATTCTTCTATAAATTTTTTGAAATCTCAATTTTTATTGGACTAATTTGCCCTTATAGCTCATGCCCATTTTTCATAAAAGATTCTTGAAAATTATAACGACAAAAATAGCCTATACAAAAACATGTTTCTGCAAGTTTTTATTGTTCATTTAACATTGTTGTGATCAAAAGAAATAAATAATTTCTACATAAATTATTCAAAGTAAATTACAAACTATCAATTAATATAAATATCTACATTTTATATTGATTTTTTTTATATCAAGTGACTATCTTTGTTAATTGCTATGCATTCACTTAATTAAATTAACATATTCATTGAATTATAAGTAAAGGTTTTTTGTGAATAACGTGTATCTGGTTTTTCCAATTTCCCATTTTTCCATTTAATGGTCCTTAAATTTATTTTTAATTGTATTTTCCTCATTGATAAGAATAACTTATTGAGTACAACTTGTTCAATTAGTAAAATAAGCCATTCTTAAAAGTATAGATAAACGTTTTAATTAGTAACAAGATAAGTTTTAAATTTTTTTTATTTTCAACTTTACTCTAGTAACATGCATATTTCTAACTTTTTCAATGATTAAATATTAATTAAACTTAAGGGAGATTTATGGTGATAACCTATATATACTTTTATTGTTTACTTTTTCATTTTACTGGAATATATATTAAATACATTTCCATAAGTTATTTGCTTTGATCACTTCGTGCTTGCCTAATAGTGTTACATGGCTGAGTGCAAAAAAGCACTACAATAAAGCAAAAAAGACAATTATATTAAGAAAAGAAGATACTTGGAATGGAAAAGGAAATATAAAATCCTAAAATAATCGGAAGTTCAAAGTATGCTTGGTATTCGCCTTCCTTTTTTTTAGTAAGTTTCTTTTACTTGGGGACAATGTCCACCTAATCTTTTCTTTGGCCAGAGAATAATATCCACTAATCTAAAAATTGCAATTGAATCTTTCATATATCGCTTTGATTTGTTTCTTTAAATAAAACAGAAAACTCTTCTTGGCTTTTTTAAATAATAAAAATATGAAAACGGTTAAAACTTGTGGCTGAGGTTAGACCAACCACTTATATTTTTTGGTTATGGAAGTAAGAAACAAACATAAGTGAATGTGTACTTCCTTTAAAGAATATTCGATTTGGTACAGGATATTTTTGTCTTTGTAATTATTAAAAAAAATTTCATGGAAATTAATTGCGAATGAGTTTAAAGATAAATCTATCTAAATCTATCTAATTATATAAGATTTCGCAAAAGTCAAGAAAAGATACTTTCTGTCATAAGAATATCATTTTCCTGATTATTAGCATATTTTTCTTCAATTTTGCATGTTATAAGATAAGTCCGAGGTTTTCAAAGGGAATTAGCTCTCACGAACCTCAACTGACTCATCGCTCACTGTGGCTCACTGAGCAAAATTTTGCGACCGATAGCAAGGAACCTTCACCCGGACTGGTCGACCACCGATTGGTCAACCAACTTGGGGCACATGGGGATGGCTTGGGGACCGCGTGGACCGGCTTGGGGACCGTGCGCATGCGGTGCAAGTCTGGCGAGGAAAAGTACCTCGGGCGCGACTCCTTCTTTTGCAAGGAGTGCTATGAGAAGGTGAGCAAGACCGCAGAAGAGTACAAGCAAGAGATTGAGGACTTGAAGGAGTCTTACGAGAAGGTTAGTAAGACCGCAGAAGAGTACAGGCAAGACATTGAGGACTTGAAGGCCAAGAACTTCTTCTTGAGTCTCTGGATTCAGACCGACCAAAAGGGTCGCTTCCATGGCCCTGGGTTCAGCGACGTCGCCTTGGTCACCACCAAGGACGGTCCCGACGGAGGCCAGTCGAAGCCAGTTCTGGCTCACAGGGCCATTCTGGTGAGCATTGCCTTTTGTTCATTGTTTTCGTCGCTAATTTTGCTTGAAGTTTGGGGTTTTCTTTGTTTTGCTCTGATATCCATTTAAATTTGGGAATTTCAGAAGAGACAGATCCAGTGATTAAGCTTCGATTTGGGGTTCCAATGTTCTATTTCTTGCTCCAAAATTATGGGGTGGTGATAGATTGTGTCATCCATGGTAAATAAGTGGTCAATTAGGTGATAAAGAAATCTTAGAATAATTCTGGGTGACAGTAGGAAGATTAGATGCGGAACACAAGTGTAATGAAATTATAAGATAGGAGTTATAGGAGAGTGAAAGAGTAATGCTAATACAGGATTTCCTTAGAAGTTTTATCTTCTATCATACTATTGAGTTCTCTTACAGTGCAAGAGTTTTCTTTTCTAAGTCCTCTTTCATTAACTATTCACAATCAGGCGAGCCGGTCCCCGGTGTTCAAAGAATTGTTCGAGAATGAGATGGAACAAACCCATTACAGCATCATCAAGATAAGTGAGGTGTCGTATGATGTCCTCCGAGCATTTGTCAACTATCTAGCATGTCTCGATGACGAAATGTCTTCTGATCTTCTAATACTAGCTGAAAAGTATCAGGTGAAGCACCTCAAAGCTTATTGTGAGAAGTTTTTGGTATCCAAATTAAATTGGGACAACTCAATCAAAAAGTATGTCTTTGCGCACCAGCACAATGCAAAGATTCTCCTTGAGACTGCCTTGTCCTTAATCATGGACAACATGGATAAACTCAAAAATCGTCAAGAATACTCGAAACTCATTGAAAAGGAGCCACGCCTAGTGGTGGAGATATACGAAGCATGCCTTGCAAAGCAGGAAAACACCACAGTATGGGTACCTGTCAAACGCAAACGCAAATCAGTTGGTTGATAATGAGTTCTCGATTTTCTAGTGCCAATCAGTTGGGTGAATGAGTTCTCGATTTTCTAGTGCCGTGGGATGGAATTATGAGTTTGGAGGACCAAAACTTCTGCCTGGATTGTTTCGTTCCATTTTTCTCACTGATTAATCCGTGGATGATGGGTGTTTTCGGCTTTTTAAGAGTGAACTTTATTGAAGCTGTCATTATATTGATAGATGTAATAAATGGCTATGCTTTTTTTTTTTCTAGAAATAAACTAGGGATGCTGCAATGGTCATGATATTCATCTATACTATGATTTAGTTGAAATCTAAGGGGATAAGAATAGTAGAAGTACATAACTTTCGCATCGCATCTACTTAAATGCCATATCATAGTAAAATCAATCATTTAAGTGTCGTTTCTGGCAAATCATTTCGATGCAGATATTTTAATTTTTTTTGAGTTTTTTATTTTCACTTTCTTTTCTTTTATTCTTTTCCTTTGCTTTTTTTTCTGTGCCAGCAAGGGTCGAATTTTCCGTCGAGACAAAACGCCGATGGCACTTAAATGATCGATTTTTCAAATTTGTGATACTTAGTGAACGAAAAAAAAAAGTTATGCAGTGAGCGGCATAGCACTCCTGCTATTCTTATCCCAAATATGAGCATTGAGCATTGCCTAGGAATA